CTGGGTCCCTCCCTGGGTCCCTCCCTCTACCGGGCCCGCTGCTCCGGGCACGGCCTGAACGCGCTCCTGAGGGGCATGGGGAGAGGGAACGCACGGCTGTGGAGAAATGCTGTTCTGTTAACAGAACTGTTCTGCAGTATCTTTTATAGGTAAAACGTGATGTTAAAAACACTGTTGGGCTGTAGGAAATGCAAAAAGTATGCACGTTTGTTTAAATAAAGGTGAACGTTAAATATAAATACATGGTTTGGTCGGTGCGGTACAGTGAAGGGTAAAAACTGAACGAAATAACGTGTTGTTATTAAAAGCGGGCTTGTGTGTTTGCATCAGTGTCACTTAACGTGTTTAAAGGGCTGCACTGCCAACAAGGGGTTAAAAGCAAGAACGCCGTGGTTTCCAAGGAATCACAGAACTGCTGGAGGTGCATGGGGAGGAGGGAAGCTGCGGAGAAGGCCGTGGAAGGAACAAACAGAACTGTTCTGCAGCATGTTTTATAGATAAAATGTGATGTTGAAAATACTGTTGGGCTGTTGAAAAGGCAAAAAAAATATGTGCTGCTAGTGCTAATATGTGCTGTTAGTGCCTGAAAAAATAACTACAGGTTGGGGTAAGCAAGGGGCATTATGAATTGTAGTACAGGACAAGGATGACTGTATACAAACAGCATGAATGAACAGGTGTGGATTTTGTGATGGTCAGTTGATACAGGTGTCTCTGTTCTTCAGGTAAAGCAAATTGAAAAACGAGATTCTGTTTTAACATCAAAAAACCAAATTGACCGGCTGACCCGACCTGGATCTTCATATTTCAACTTGAACCCTTTTGAGGTTAGTTTGAACATTCTGAATTGATGGATGAGCTTTTTTTCCTGAGTGTTTATTCCAGTAAAAGACAACATAAGGAAAGAAGACATTTCCCTGGGTACAGATTAGTGTGCAGAAGGTTTGCAGAGGACAGCAGGATGGTGTTTGTGTCTTTCTCAGTGTTTGATGGCAGGACAAACTCTGTTGTCACATTTCCCTCGTGCAGCAGCACTGGAAGATCTGGCTGGGTACTTTCTGAACAGGAAGGGAGCAGCTGGAGGTGGCATTTTGGCAGGTTCTGGTCATTGCTGTCTTAATTCAGCATTTAGAGTTGTGTGTTTTATTTTGGGTGTTCATCCCACTGAACTTGGGTAGTGGATAGAGTAAGAAAAGGTCTCAGTGGTCACACCAGTGAGGAACCATTGGGTGATGGACAATCCCCTTGCACTTTATAGGGTTTGATTCCAGTTACAATCAATTATAAAGTCTTAGTAAGCAGGAAAGCCTGAGGAAGGCAGTAAATAAACAATAATAAATAATATTATATTTATCTGGATTTGGCTTTCCCTGGGTGTGTTCCTTCCTGGTTCATCCTCACTGCCTTTTTCAAGCCTCAGGTGCTTTTGTAGTCTCAGTTCAGCCAGATGAGTCAGCACATTCACTTTGACAATGTTCAGTTTTGTACAGGTCTTAATACTTAAAAAGTAAATTAAGAAAGCTGTTTCAGGGTAGACTGTAGCTTTCCTGTGGGAGAATGGTTTTTATTTACAGATTCTTTGAGTCAGACCAGCATCTGCTCACTTGTTGCTTAAATCTTATGTTCAGTAAATTAATTCACAAAAGAGTTCCTAAACTCTGCCACACCTGTAAAGATCAATAAACAAGTGGTGTCACTCATGGAAACCAAACAGTAAAACTCTAGTGTCTTCTTTCAAAATGATAAAATTAATACATTTTTATTTAAAAGTGTGTTTCCTGTCCAACATTCTGAGTGGCCTGGCATTGTCCCCAAGCCACCACACGCTTTTGTTTCTGTCAGACTGAGCATTGCTACAGGACTGGTTGGAGGTTCAGACCCATTTATGGATCATGGCTGTCTACACAAGACCTTGGCATAGCCAGAGGAATCTAGCACTGCTAAAAGTAGTGTCACAAATGTCAGAAAGATTGTGAAATGTTTCTGTTTTACTGGGTGAAAATTCATGTCGTTGTGGGGTGAGCTCTCTGGTGTGTGTCTGTGTGCCAGTGAACCAAGTGGCACAGAATCACAGAATGGGCTGGCTTGAAAGGATCATTGGGTGCAAGCCCTGACCCTGCA